GGGGTTATAGATCTATTTAAATTGCTCATCTGATCTTGATTTCACTTTGCTAAGTTATATGTATAAAAAAAACCTGTCCATTTCTTTCAGAATTTCTAATTTTGTGGAGCACAGGTTTTTAAAGTAGGATCTTGTGATTCTCTAGGTTTCCTCAGTATCTCTTGTTATGTCCCCGTTTCATTTCTAGTTTTGTTAAGTTAGATATTCTCTCTATGTCTTTCTGTCAGTTTGGATCAGGGTTTATCAAATCTTCTTTTCTCAAAGAACCAACTCTTCATTTTGTTTATTGTTTGTTTCTCTTTTATTTATTTTACTTGAGTTTTATCATTTCTTGACATCTACTCATTTTGGATGTGAATTCTTCCTTAGAACTTCAGGTTTGCTGTTAAGTTACTAGTTTGAGAGCTCTCCAATTTTTTATGTAGACACTTAGTGCTACTTTTCCTTTTAGAACAGCCTTCAATGTGTCCCAAAGTTTGGGTATGTTCTGTATTCATTTTCATTCAATTCTAGAAAGTCTTTAATTTCTTTCTTAATTTGTCTTAATCCACTTTGCAATTAGTTGTTCCATTTCCATCACTTTGCAGGCTTTCTCTTGTTTCTGTTGTTGATATCTAGTTTTAATCCATGGTGGTCTGATAGGAAGGATGCCAGGTGTTATTTCAATATTTTTCGTATCTGTTGAGTTGCTTTGTGACTAAGTATGTGGTCAGTTTTGGAGAAAGTTCCATGAGGCACTGAGAAGAAGGTATATTCTTTTGTATTTGAGTGAAATGTTCTGTAGATATCTGTTAGGTCCATTTGGTTTATAATGTCAGCTGGCTCTAGCATTTCTCTGTTTGGCTTTTGTCTAGATGGCCTGTCTGTTGGTGAGAGTCGGGTATTTAAGGCTCCCACTATCAGTTTGTAAGGTCCAATATGTGATTTGAACTATGGTAGTGTTTCTTTTATGAATTTGGATGCCCTCGTGTTTACATTTACTTGCATAGATGTTAAGAATTGTAGTGTCCTGTTGGTGGATTTTTCTTTTAAGTATATATTGTCCTTCCCTATCTCTTCTGATTAGTTTTTGTTTGAGTTTTTTTTATTTCGGATATTAAAATGACTACACAAGCTTTTTTCTTAGGTTCACTTTCTTGGTGTATGTTTCTCCATCCTTTTACCCTGAGGTGACGTCTATCCTTGATGTCTAGGTGTGTTTCTTGGATGTAGCCGAAAGGTGAATTCTGTCTGCACATTCATTTCCATGTCTTTTTATTGGGGAATTGAGACCATATACGTTGAGAGATACCACTGAGTAGTGTTTGTTCATTCCTGTTATTTTGTTGTTGTATGTGCACACATGTCTGCATGCATATTCCCTCTTTTGATGTGTTTGTCTGGGATTAATTCCTTGTGTTTTCTTTAGGTTGGAGTTTTCCTTCTAGCAACTTCAATAGGGTGGATTTGTAGATACATACTGCTTAAATTTGGTTTTATCATGGAAAATCTTATTTTCTCCATCTATCATTAATTGCTAGGTATAGTAGTCTGGGCTGGCATCTGTGGTCTTTTAGAATCTGTCCAGGCCCTTCTGGATTTTAAAGTCTCCACTGAGAAGTCATGTTACTCTTTCTACCTTTCAGCTTTTAATACTGTTTGTTCTGTATATGTTGTGTCTTGATTATTATGTGACTATTATGTGACAAGGGAACTCTTTTTGTTGTTGTTGTTTTTGTTTTTCCAGTCTATTTGGTATTTTGTATACTTCTTGTACCTTTGTAGGAATTTCCCTCTTTAGATTAGAGAAAATTTCTTCTGATTTTGTTGAAAATACTTTCTGTGGCTTTGACCTGGGTTTCTTCTCCTTCTTCTATTCCTGTTATTTTAGATATGATCTTTTCATAGTGTCCCAGATTCCTTGGATGTTTTGTGCCAGGAACTTTTTTTTTTTTTTTTTTTTGGTTTTTCGAGACAGGGTTTCTCTGTATTGTTTTGGAGACTGTCCTGGAACTCGCTCGGTAGACCAGGCTGGCCTCGAACTCACAGAGATCCGCCTGCCTCTGCCTCCCAAGTGCTGGGATTAAAGGCGTGCGCCACCAACGCCCGGCGCCAGGAACTTTTTATATTTAACATTTTCTTTGACCAAGATATCTATTTCTTCTATGTATGTCTTCAGTGCCTGAAATAATCTCTTCCACCTCTTGTATTCTGTTGGTGAGTCTTGCCTCTGAGGTTCCTGTTCAAGTTTCCAATTTTTCATTTCTAAATTTCCCTCAGTTTGGGTTTTCTGTATTGATTCTATTTCCACTTTCACGTCTAGAATGCTTTTATTCATTTCCTTCCTTTGTTTGTCTTTTCATTAATTTCTGCAAGGGACTTATTAATTGTCTCTTCAAGGAGCTCTATCATATTCATAAAAGCTATTTTAAGGTCTTTTTCTTGTGTTTCGGCTGTGTTGCAATACTCAGGGTCTGCTGTGGGAGGGTTTGTGGGCTCTAGTGGAGATATATTGTCGTGGTTGTTACTGTGTTTTTACACTGGCATTTAGGCATCTGGATTTGGAATGATTATAATTCTTGGTACCAATATCTAGCCTTGTCTTTGTTGGGCGGGCATTTTGTCCCTATTTTCTGTTGTCCTCTCTGGTTCTTAGGAGAGTGTGGTAGCTGCGAGTTGCCTGTTATGAAGTTTCTTCTGGAATCTGGTAGGTGTGGCCACTGGGGGGTCCAGGTAAAATGTGTTTCTAGTTATTGGTGGCTATGAGCTGGACAGCTGGAGTGCAGGAGGAGGGAAAGCCCAGAGGTAGCCTACCTGGGTCTGTATTATAGGCGTGGCTGTTGCAGTCTAAGGAAGGGAGATAGGCTGGGAGGAAGAGGCTGTCCATGGTAAGCAGCCACTGGACGACAGCTACCAGAATGGAAAGTAGGTGAGAGTGCAGGAGCCTCTCTGTGTCCCTGCCACATGTGGTGGCCACCACACTGACCTGATGATAACGCCTGCTCTACCCACTAGACCAGAAAGAAACTCTTCACAGAAGTCTTAGATAATCACAGAACTTAGTAGTGGGCAGCAGACAGGTCTTAGACCAGCCATGGCTTTAGAACTGCCTCAAGTCATAAATGCAGAGATCAGAGACTTATTCTAGCTGCAGTCTTAAACAGCAGAGTTACAGAAGGAAGGCACCTGGCAGCACTCAACAGCTGTAATGGTCCTGCTACCATCTGCTCAGAGATTATCAGGCATTCAAAGAGGAGAGAACAGATCGTGGTATCTGTACTATAACCTCAGCATTAGGGAGGCAGAGACAAGAGGGAAAGCACGACCTGTAATAAAGAAAAGAGATAAGCCACTGCAGACACAGATGTTAGAATTAATAGAAAAGGAAGCCAAGACGATAGCTTTTTCCTCGTCTTCCAAAGGTAAGACTAGCAAAGTGTAAGAAAGAAGAAAATTACGTCTGAGAAATGGAAGTTACAGTGTCTGAGATGAAAAGTGCAATAGACAGATCAGATGTTGCAGAGGAAGAGTCACTGAAGGGTTATTTCTTGCTATGTGTCTAGAAGACTCTACTAACTTTGTTACTCCAATTAGCTGATGGAAAATTTAATGGATGGAGTTCCATTTGGACTAGCTCAAAGATTTTTTTCTGCTGTAATGACTTCTTGTTAAAATATCTTTGGTTGTGCTTTGATTGAGAGAAGGTTAAAATACTTCTGACAGAATTAAAGTATTTATATTTTGAAGTAGAACGTATGTGTTGTTAGGTTTTGTGTAGAAATGTGTGTTAAAATTATAAAAGTTTAGAATAATGATTTGCGCATTGTTTCATAGGTGTGAGATTTATTTCCTAGCCAGTGGTAAATTTTGTTAGGGAGCTGAGTTGTCACTGACATCTCTGAAGCCCCAACACGCTTCATGTGGTGTATCTGCCAGGGTGTGGTTAGTGACACTTCGGTCCCAGGGCTCTGCACTTTAGTCTGCTGTCTGAAGTAGGAGTGCTACCTTGCTGCAAATGTAAACAATTCCCGGGAGCCTGCCTCAGTCTGTTAGCTTGTGCAGGTTTGATCAGGTGTGTTCTAAGTTGACTAGAAGAACTTGGAAATGATGTGTTTGGGGAGATCTCAGCAGGAGACTAAGGAGTAAATGGCAGAGTTAAACCAGTGTAGAACATTGTTCTTCCCATTTATTGGGAGGCATACTACCTCAGAAAACTGTCTCCATTTTTAGGCAAAGAGACATATAAGGATAAGGTTTTGGAACCCCAGGTTCCAGTGTATTGCAAGGCTTCCCTCGGAAAGATCTGTAAACAGATCTGCACAGATTCAGGCCAGAGGACCAAGAGCTTTCAGTGAAGTACCTGTTGACAAGACAGGCTGATCACAGCCTAAAGGCAGTTTGTAGCTGTCTTGATTTGAGGGTAGAGGGTAGCTGAAGTCACTGTCTGTGTGTGTCACCAGCAGTAGCCCTGCTCTTGGCCTCTCCTGCTGCAGAAGGAAATGGGGACATCAGCGTCTCACTCCATAAGACAAACACACTTACTGAAGCAGGGTGAGTGCTGCATGTTAAGGATAAGGCCCAGGAAGGCTTCCTGTTGTTGATGCTTTATTATCGGTGCTAAGCAGTGTTCAACACAAAAATTAGAGATTTTGCCTTTCCTCCGTGTTTGTTTGAGTCACTAGAAAAGAAATTCTGTATTGTAGAAAAACCATAGTTCACTGGGCGGTGGAGGCACATGCCTTTAATCCCTTGGGAGGCAGAGGCAGGCAGATCTCTCTGTGAGGCCGGGCTGGACCAACAGCCTCCAAAACAATACAGAGAAACCCTGTCTCGTTAAAAAAAAAAAAAAACCACAAACAAAAAGAACCATAGTTCAAGGTCTCTCAGCCCACCTATCACAGCAGCACAGACACTTGTTCTCAGGCATTCCTGGCTTTTTCAGATACACTAGTAATATGACTAGCGTAGCTAAATACTGTCCTTGGCCACTAAATTGAACTTGGTGCAATTTTGTATTTCAGGACTCATGAATCAAGCCAGCAGATGTGGACGGTGGATAAAGGCTGTTGCCCCTAAAGGCACTGTAAGTTTTAAACATCAGAGCTGGTTTCAGTCTCTGAAACTGCAGGACTAAGAAAGACTTCAGCTGTGTTTATTAGTTTTAGTGTGGACTAACAGACCGTTGAGTATAAAAATGCAGACACCAGCCAGTATTCATATGAATGTCACAAACAACGGCATTAGCAGGGAATACTGGTGAGCTTTCTCAGGGAGACTTTTGCAAAATGTGCACTTAGTTGTAGAATTCATTTTCTGTTGCTATGTTCCAAATTACAGAACCCCCAAAGTGTGTTCTAAGGCCTCTGATGATGCCTGAAGCCACAGACGGTGTCAGCCGCCGTCCACTGTAGCTTTTCATAAACACACATGCCAGCTGAATGCCCTTTCTGCTCGGCTAAGCATGATGTGCCCTGGTGAGTACTTACCTGGTGGTTCCAATAGCAGATAGCGGCTTCCTTTCCCTTTCTTACCACTCCACACAAGCGCACCCTCCCTGACTGTAGGGCGAGCCCCTCAGCGCATCATTTGTTTTGTTTAACTAAGTTGAGAACTTTTACCTTTTTCCTTAAAGCATTTTGTGGCTTCTCTTTGTCAGGCCCATGCAAATATCACTATGGTTGTGCTTTAAGATAACTGCGACGATGGTTGGATGGCCAGGGTGGCTACCTAGTGACAACAGACACATGTAGCATGCACATGCATAGCAAAGCGATGATTCACATCCTCGTGCTACTTCAGGTGACACATAGTTTAAAACATATGCATTGCTTATTTCTCAACTTTATCCACTCTAAGTTACTGAAGAAATAGAAAACAAATCCTTGGATGGGGGCAAGAGAACGGCTCTACCACACATTTAATGACTTCAGACCACTGTCTTAGCAGCTGATGGTTGGTACTGTTGGCCTTGTGCTCAGTGTCACATAGCTGAAATAAAGATGTTGACCCATCTGGGATATTATGTATAGACCGTGGCGAGAACTCTCTCAAGTTCTCTCACATTATAGAAAAAATCAAATTCCTTATGCCTGTACGACATCATTTTTCTTGCTGGCTTCCACAAACAATCTCTCCTTCTAAAGACTACCTACATGTCATCTCCTTCCTCATGTGGGCCCTCTGTCTTCAAGTAAAACACATGGAGTCCTTCTCACGCTCTGAATGTCTGACTTTCTTGTAAACTCGACAAGTCTCTGCTTGGTTGGCCAAGATATTTAACATGATCATGGGAATATCACATCGCATCCACAGCTCCCACTCAAGAGATGACTATGTGAAGGCACCATTGTTGGAGTCACCTTAGGTTGTTGTATTGTAGCACCAAAGGTGCACAGTTTCTTGTTGTGAATAAAACACTTACCATGTAGGTGAAGCCGGTGCCTCTGATTTTACTGTATCTAGTGTGGGTTGTGATGTACCTCACTGTGGGATGTATGGAGATACAAATACACTTAATAAAATAAGCAGTGCTTTATAGATTTATTCTGTGGACTCAAAACCATACTGAACAGATCAATTTGGTGGATTATGTATTTTGATTTGGATAAATCAGTAATTAAACACAGATTTCAAATAAACATTTCTAATTACAAGTCTCCTTTTATTATTGTCCCATTTCTTTACCTTCTTTCTAATATCTTATTTGTGAAATAAAATCAGCCTTGTTGGTCTGTGACTGTCCTCTTAATGAAATCAAAGTTTATGAGATGAAATGTCTCACATGCTGGGGTATTTTGTGTGGTGATTGAATGTTAAGCTGTTAAGCAAAGGAAACGTGAGGCAGTAAGGTAATTTTTATAATATTTTTCACTCTGAGGCAATTAGAAAAACATTTCATAACTAAAAATAAAGTTGATAAAAGTAGCCAACAACAGCCCAAATGGTCATGAATTACGATCAGCTAAGGATGCCAAAGTCATTAGTGGAATTGTACATAATGTCTTCCTTGCATAGCTTGCTTTTCTAATTCCTACCCCTTCTATTCCATTTCTGTAGCTCTGAAGCTTACCTCCTCGGGATGAATGAACAGGCCTCTCATTCTTGGTTTTAAAAAGAGTTTGGTCATAGATTTTGATGATACCCCTAGAAGGCCTCACTCTCCCTGGGGAGCAAATGGGGTTGGGATGGGGGGACTGGTGGGAGGCATGGGAGGATGGAAGGGAGAGGGAACTGGGATTGATATGTAAATAATATTGTCTCTAAATTAAATAAAAATATATAAAGTTAAAAAAGAAGATAAAAAAATGTTTGGCCATAAAACCACCTCCTGAGTTTCTCGACACTGTAGCGGGGTATGTTCTTCCCTGGCCTGTTCCCCATGCAGATGTTTCTTAGAAGTCCCTGCCTCTTTTATGTCTCCTAGTTGTGTACATGAAACACTTGGGTCAGACTTCTGAAGCCAACTCTCATGCAGCTGCCACAGACCTCCAAATTTAGTTAAAAGCTCACTCTTACCGTAGTTGTTGGCTCAGATCCTAGACTTGACTCCCATGAGCCTTTCTACAACTGATTTCAAAAACATTCAAAAAGAGGGAGGGAAATTATTTAAAAGCATTCAACAGATACAGAATACCCAATAATAACACAGTGTAAGGCCTTTTAAAACTTTTATCCTTTAAATTTTTTTAACTTCATTCCAATTTTGTAGGTAAATAGGCTAACCTCGTTTAGTAGATATGCCACTGAGGGAATAGGGAGAAGGTTGTGCTAATGTCACTGGTACACCTTGTGTATAGCAGCCAAAAAGACCTGCCTCATGTGCTGGCAACATCAAATCCTACAATGGCAAAGATAATGGATTGGATAATGGTAAAAGCCTGTGATAGAAGCATATTAAATTAGTTTTTAAATTTTAACTAAAGGCCAGCTCTTCACAGAAACAAGCTGGAAGGTGCTTTGTTTTGTCTTCTTGGCGTTTCATAGTTACAGATCCTGTGTAGCTCAGCCATGACAAGAAGACCTGAGGTGTCACAGGAGTCTCTTTCTGCTCACACTGCTCTTGTTTCTCTTACATTTGCTTCTGTTGAGGTGAATCTAGGACTGACTTTTAGCTATCCTTTATTGCCAAATGAATGTCAGGAAATTACTTGAAAGCTTCTTTGCCTTTGAAGATGTGTGGCCCTGTCATTTATAAACAAGTTTACAGAGTCTCAGTCATCACCTTGGCTCCAGAGTTAGCCAGTTTTTGTGGCTGTGGCCAGTTTCTTTTTCCTGTCTGGAGAGCAATTCCTACTTGTTAAAAACAAAACAAAAAAAGGCTGTGCCTTTCCAGTCTGTTCCCTACCTTGTACCCTTGGATCTGATCATCTTGTCTAACCTTAGTTTGCTTGGCACTGGAGAAATGGCTTAGTGGTTAAGCCTTTACTGGCCTTGAAGACCCAGGTTTGGTTCCCAGCACCTTCATAACACTCACGTCATCTGTGACACCAGCTCCAGGCCTTTGAGGACTCTTAGACACACACACAGACTCACACAGGCACACATGCATTAAGTAAATAGATGTTTAAAAGTAACTTGATCAGGTTACCTCGGGATCTCATTAGATAAAGGTGACGTTTGCCTTTAAAGTAAGAAGCAAAGGCATGCTGTTATTTCGTGTTGTTATTGGGAGCCAGCAACTAACGTTATTAACAGCAAGTGAGGAAACATTGTCAGTTCCAGAAGTTTCGTTTTCTTACTTGAGGTTGGAGTCTGTACTTTCCTCATCACTGCCGTATGTGTCTTTGACCATCAGTCCTGTGTAATTTCTGAGTTGTATTCTCTTGTGAGTCTCTGCAAGAGGATTGCCTTCAGAGTCGTAGCCAAACCAACTGGGAGGGTTGCTGGAGCTGTACTCCTGATGCTGGACCACAGAGGACATTCTGTGAGCGGCTGCCCTGCAACAGCAGTGCTGAGCATTAGTGAGCTGCAGAAGGGATCCCTCCAGCTTTCAAATTTGACCAAGTTTGGAATTGAAAACTTACTATCACTAGTCACATTCAATGTGGAGCTCCACTTGCCATTAGAGAAAGTCGGGAGTTGTGTGAAAATCAGGCACCCCAGGCAAAGGTATCTGTAGTCCAGCCAGTTAGGGCTCACCAGGCTGTGTGTCTTTATACATGCCCAGGAGCATGAACACTGAAGTCATTTATAGTGCGTTTGAGTAAGTGCTAGGCTTGATGTATCTCCGGTTTCTTTGATGAAGGAGCAACCTGACCCACCCTCCCTGTGAAGACTGATGTGCCAGAATGGACCTTATCACCAGAGTTTACAGACCCCTGTAGATGCATGATGGACTCTAGGAAGGTCCATGAGCTTTCTAAAAGTCTGTGTAGTTTTGTCTCCAGTATATATTTTTCTTGGAATGTTGTGACTTAAAGAGGTTCATAGCCAAGTGGTTATAAATATTGTTAGACGTACTTAGGAAGAAACAAGGAAGCAAAGAAACGCACATGCATGTGCATGCACACAGACATACACACATTTCCTCTTGAGGACAGAGATGCAAAGATTCTCAACACAACACTTATCGTCAATTCCTCAGCATATTAAAAAGATCATTTACTATGATCAAGGTGGTTTCATTGCAGTGGTGTAACAGTGGTATAACATGCAAACCAATAAATGTAATTCAGGGCATAAAGAGACTCAGAAATCACATGATTATTTTAGTAGGTGCATAAATGGCCTTTGACAGCATTAAATATCCATTTATGATAAAGGCTCAAAAACAAAACCCACTAAGGATAGAAGGAGCATACCTCAACATTATAAGGACTATATATGACAACCTATAACAAACACACTAGTTGGGGAAAAACATTTCCTCTAAAATCAGATGTGAGACAATAGTATCCACTCTCTTCACTCTTACTCATTATTACGTTTATATATATATATATATATATATATATATATATATTTTTTTTTTTTTTTGGTTTTTCGAGACAAGGTTTCTCTGTATTGTTTTGGAAGCTGTTCGAGGACAGCCTGGTCTACAGAGCAAGTTCCAGGACAGCCTCCAAAACAATACAGAGAAACCCTGTCTCGAAAAAAAAATTGTGGTATTAAAAACTTAATAGGAGGGTACTGAGAAAAATTCTGAGAAGGAAATTGCTGTTGACCAGTACAGAGAAATGGGCTGGGTTTGGTCACTGCTGTGGCATGCAGTATCACAGGAAAAGAGTGATAGCAAGCCAAGTGTTTCTCCACAGCCATCAGGAGTGCACGGAGGAACATGCACCTCTCTTTGCTCTTTTTTTTTTTTTTTTTTTTTTTTTGCTTTCTGTACCCCTTAGCCCAGCTCTCTCGCCCTCCCAGCCACAAGCAGTTCCAGTGAAACAGCTAACTAGTGGGTCTGTGGCCCAAATAGTGAGCAGCGAGGCTGCAGACGGAGGCCCACTTCCCCTGGTCGCAAGCTCTTCCAGTCTGGGGTGAGTGGGCTGCTTTCCCTGGGGAGATGGACTGAGTGGACTACAGTTCAGTGACAGAACCAGAGCTAAGTGACAAGCAGAAGAATTTGGTCGCCTGCTTGACCGTAGAGAGGAAGGTGCTGAAATTGAAAGGCCTCTGTGAAAGGAATATGAAACTATGAAGTCATTTTAGAAGGGCATCCCAGGTTCAACTGTTCGTGCTATACGAATGGTATAGCCACATGCCATGCTATCCTGGCATTTCTAAGCTTTTCATATCCAGCTGCCTACTTACCCAGAGATGGACCTGCAGAATCGCATCTTAAGGATCCGGAGTTGTTTGCAGCCGATTTCAAGGTCCTGGAGGATCTGGTCTGTAAGTAGGATGCAGCCAGAAATATCCAAAATGTGCAGATAATGGCACTTGGCAGATAATGTCTCCAAACCTCCATCAGTAATCTGCACACACAGTCAAAGTAAGTAGCAGTTATTGAGCAACTCTTTCTCACAGGAGAGCAGTATTTTAATTTAGGGTGCTGTAAAAAATATGGTAGATTAGGTAGCTCAAACATCAAGCACCTAATTCTTACTGTTCTGAAGCCTGGAGAATCCAAGAGCAAGGTGGCTACACATGTACACATATGGTGTCTGGTAGGGTACACGCTTGCAGATGTCTGCCTCGGATCAGGCTCTTAGTGGCTTAGAGAACTCCAGCCTCTGGCTCTTCTTATAAGGACATGACACCATAGTAGCAGCGTCCCTTTCATGGCATCCTCTAAACCTATTTACCTCCCAAAGGCCCCGCTTTGTGACACTGTTACATGAGTGGAGTTTGAGCATTGATGTTCAGTGGTAGGGAAAGGCACAAGCACTTGGCCATAGCAAACAAATGAAGACCAAGTTTATTCCATGAAAACCAGGTTTGTGGTTTAATTACTTCCAATTGAGGTCAGAAGAGTATAAAACCTGTCTCAAGTGACACCGGGGTCTGTTCTTTTTCACTTAAGCATCCTCTGGTCTGGATGAGAAACACTCAAATTTTCCTTGGTAATTAATACCTATTGTGTCATTGTGAAGAACTTAGGAGATGCTCCAGCCATGGAGTGTCCATGCTTGAAGTCCTCTGTAAAGCTTTACCAATTTGGAGAATCATGCCTAATAGCATCACATTGCAGAGCTACTAACACACATGCCCTGAAGTC